GAGCAGCTATTAATCTAAAAGCACACGTTAACTGAATTTACCAATGTCCCATTCAGTTTGATTTCTACTCTGAAAATAAAATAATCAATTACTTGCATGCTATATAGTATCAATCAAATACCCCACTATATAGTAGCTGCGTAAAATAATATAGGAGGGCTGTCCAGAAAGTATCCAGCCACCCTACCCATGCAGCCATTGTATCCATGGCTGGATACTTTTTGGACAGCCCTCCTATTCTCAACGGACCCAAGTAATAGTACTCACAATATTTCATTCTCCTGGTATTCAAGTTGCTTTGAAGTTCTTTTTATTTTATGACTTTTCATCATGGGCAATTAGGGGAGATGTGAGCCCAGTGAGTCATCATTAGCAAGCCATAGTCTCCTTAGTATTCCAACTTTCACTCTTTCTAGTGATTGAAGATGTTACAGGGCTTTTATTTTTCCTAATGTACTTACCATGAGCCAGGTATGATAAATGGAGATGCAGAAATGAGCAAAACAAGGAGAATTCAGTCCTCCAAATAGCATATCTTGGAGCACCTGAAGCAATTAAGAGCCTACAAGTTCCTTATTTTAGTGCTTCAAGGACATTTGGGGAGAAAAATTTTAATCAAGACCTCAATGCCAATATTTCAAAATTGAACTGCAAATTCATGATACTGTGGCAAAAGATTCATGGAAATATTTCAGCTTCTTCTTAGGCTGTTCAATTTCCTGTTTAAGGGGGAAGAAAAAATAAACTGTCTCTTTTAATAGAGACACTACGTCAGGGCTCATATAATAATGAAAGCTAAAAAAGAATATAAAATGAACAGAGGTTGGCAAAATTCTTTTGCAAAAAACCAGATAATAAATATTTGAGGCTTTGCAGTCCACAGTCTCTGTCACAGCTACTCAGCTCTGCTGTTGCAGTGGCAAAAGCAGCCATAGGCAGTATGTAAAGGAACAGGCATGACTGTATTCCAATAAAACTTTATTTACAAAATTAAAAAAAAAAAAAAACAATGGAAGCTAAAAGTCCAGAACAGACAGTTCTAAAGCAATAAGAAAAGTTCCACTCAAACTTGATCTCCAGTGTTGTCCATGTCAGGGGGTGAGATGGCTTTGGGCTGGGGAGAGAGATGGAGGAGACCTGTGTGCCCGTGTGTGTGTGCGTGGGGAGGGGACAGACAGGCAGGGAGACCGCTTGGAGCATGCGCACCCTCACTGCTCCTGGTGCTTCTGCTCAATGTGAGAGCAGACCCACCATCTTGTCAGTCAGTGGCAGTGGCGTTCGCCTCTGCTGAGTGCGAAGTGCAACCTCTAATTCATCGCCCTTGAACTCAGGACCTCGTGGCCTTGGGAAAGACGCGGCAGCCCCATCTGGTACAGGAAGCAGGGCTCAGACTGCAGAGCTGCTGCTGCACAGTCACTGCGCATCACTCTTTCCAGGCACCCAGAGGAGCCCAGGTTTCCAAGCCTCTTCCCACCGAACTTGTGTCATCTACAGAGGCAAAAAAAAATTTTTTTTTAGAAAGCTGTAGTAATTCAAGGCCAACCAGAAGGACCCATCCCCATGAGGGTATTTTAATTTAGTTTCTGATGAAAATAAGGCCATTGCAGTGACATCATACAGCTATGTTTATCTCATCCTGCCATCTCCCTTTGGAGAGGGCTCAGTGCTTGTCCCCAGCCAAAACTAACAGCCGGGCCTCTTTTGCAATGTTAAGAAACCACTCTTTTATTTAGTGCTGAGAACACTTCTCTGAAGGAATGTTTCATAGAACTATGCTTAGCATCCTGTTCTTTTGTAGGGAAACAAATCCAGGATGGTTTTAAGGATGATCAGCTGTCACAGAGTCAAAGTTCATGCTATTAAACCAGGCTATTATTTCAGCAGATGTTTCATTTGGTATGTATTATAAGGACTCCAGATAAAACAATTAGGTAATTCTTTTCTCACTTCTCTTTCTGCCAATAACTAAATGCTGGATATTACAGTCCACATGACTGAGTTTATTCTCCTTTGTACAAAGCTATTAGTCATGTAACTTCTATTGAGCACCTACTGTATGTAAGCCTCTATTCTGGGTGGCCATGGCAAATGTAAAGCTGAAAAAGACATTCTTTTGCCTCTCTAGGAGAGACTGGGAAGATGTCACCACATATAAAACATCTGAGTGAATCATGTGACAATCACCATTAACTGAAGGATCCTCTAGAAGTCAAGAGGAGGAATCTCAGAGGAGAGGAGTTTGAATTATATCTAAAATGATTTGGACTTTCCAAAGTAGGTGTGAGATCAGAAGAGTCACACGTAATTAATTATGCTGTGCAAGTGATTGAGGAATAGCCACATTCGCTGTGCCCATCCATCGTCAATGGATGCTGTGGTCTGTGAGTTTCAGCCGCCCTGCATAACCCAAAGAGGGCCACAGCAGATTTCAGTGTGCGTTGACCTTCTTTAGCAGAGACAAGGAGAACACTCCCTGCATCCCCTGTACCTCCTCTCCTGGTATGCACACAGGCGTTGATCAGGGCCCCCAAGAAGCCTGGCATGCCCTGGCCCCTGCTAGCAGTCTGATCTTTGAAAAGTTTGAGGGGTTCATGGCACTCTTGGGAAGATGCTGGTCACTGGTCCAATGGACACCTGGTCTCTGGAGCCCATTTCCCTTGTGGGGTCCTGTGCTCTCCCAGACAAGAATCCTGGCTGCCCTTCTGCCTCCTGGGCTGTGTTTTTCTTTGCATAGCTTCCCGCAGATAGGCAGAGGCCAGAGCACTGGATCCAGCCAAAACATGTCCTTGGCAGAGATGCCAAGACAGAGCTCTGGAAAGCAAAGGAAGTCTAGCAGATAACTGGCTTCCTCTGAAGGACACTGGAGGGTTTCGATTGCCTGCTGTGAGCTGTTGGCACCAGCGGGGGAGGGAAACCTGGCCCTGCAAACTGAGTCCCAGCTTGTCTGTGCTTCTCGGTGGCCCGGATGCAGCCAGACTGCGCACACAAGCGCACACACACCCCCACTCCAGCCCCAAGCCCAGCGCACATGCAGGTTGCGTGCAGGCTGGGTGCCAGACGCCGCAGGGCTCCCTCTCTGCGGTGTGGCATTTTCTAGAAACACAGCCAAACCATCCAAAAGGGATCTCAGTATGTTTGGGGAAGTGAATGAATGTCTCGAATTCCAGTTACATCTTCTACGATGCCACCACCCCTGCTTGGTATACAAAACACAAGTTTCTCAGTCCTTCACCCTTTCTATTTGCAACGTGAGCCAGAATTTCACTGACTTAGGGCAAAGGACTCACCTGGGGCATTTGTTAAATCGGGCAAACACCCAGGCTCCACCCACAGATTCAGGTTCACCAGGTCTGGAAGGGAGACTAGGAATCTGCCTTTTTCACTGAGGCGCACGTGGGCCTGTGGCTCAGACCGCCAGGGAGGCCTGCTCTAGGCCAGGGAGGGATGAAGGGATTTGCCCTGATGTCTTTATTTTTTTTTTTTTTTTAAGGTTTTGCGTCTTCTGGCACGCCCTGATGTCTTTAAAAAGTAAACATACATTCTTTCTATTTACCCAAGCCTCCAGCAGATAAGAAATATTCCTTCCAAACACGGGGCAGTGTCTTCCCGATATCAGAATCACTTAGTTTGCTGCTACTCAGGAAGCTGAGGCGGGAGGATTGCTTGAGCCCAAGAGTTCAAAGTTGTAGTGAGTTATGATCTTGCCACTGCACTCTAGCCTGGGCAACAGAGTGAGACCCTGTTTCTTTAAAAAAAAAAAAAAAAAAAATGGGTGTGAAAATCCTACTACCTCTTAGGGACTATAAGCTTGTAAAACACTTAGAACCAGGCCTGCCTCCTAGAAACACTTAAAAAATGTTACCTGTTGTTATGCATTTTGCATTTTTCAGATATCTTTTGGAAGATCTTCTGGCTGGGGCTTGAATATACATTTAACTATGATGCTAGGATGGTAAGCTGTGTTCTTTTAGTCAACAAATGTTTACTGAGGCATAACCTTGTGCAAAGGCAGCGGGAAAAGACACACACTTTACCTTCATGGAACTGTTTGTCTTGTTGGGAGATATCATTTTATTTGTTGGTTTACTTGTCCAGAAACATACGAGGTATGGAATCTTTTCTGCTTTGCTCTCATGGCTGTAATCTCATTTCGACTCCAACAACAGCCCTGTGCAAAGCAGGCAGTCTGCAGTCTATGGAGGGGTGGTTTTCAATACTCAAAGGATTTAGGGGCTCTTTGGAGGCCCATAGAAGTCAATGGGAGTGGGAGATGAAGTAGATTTAAGGATCTTTAAATCCTTTAAAGGTCTTCCCCACCTCCAACTTCCTCCAGTCAGAATATCTCTTTTCCAATCTATTTGAACTTTCTCCTTACGGCTGTAGTTGAATCAAGGTATTGCTACATATAGAGGGTGGTGTGGAAAAAGAGATCTAAGGTCTGGCTTTGTCCTGGGCAAGTTAGAACTTCTAAGGGGACTTGCCACAGAACTGATAGGTCAGGACAAGGAGGCAGAGCCTAAGGTCTTCTTTCTCAGGTCAGTATTTGCTTCCCTTTTGGTTTTTCTCAGTAGATAGGAGCCTGTAAGCAATTGAGACCCTGGTACCAGAGGGTAAAAGTATTTCTGAGCAAGCACCTGCTTCTTCACTCAGAGTCACGTACATAAAACCTGCAAGCACTGTGCTGAAATGAAGGAATAAAACCCCAGATTAAAATAAAATGCACTATAAATCTGAAAGATATACATTTATAAATACATGCTATTTAGGAATATTAAAAATAATTGAACCTCTTATTTATAAAATAAAAATTTTTAGAATAATTAATGCTTATCAGTATACTTGTTTCAGTGCACTGAAAATTTACTATTGAATTTACTTTAAAAACTAAATTTTTGTTGCAAGACCATAAGCTACTAAGCTTTAAATTTTGCAATTTTAAAGCAAACAGAAAATAATTTATAGTGATTAACTTCTGAACTTCGTGTCCATAACATCTTTTTCTTTCCTATTGGTAGACATAAACACATTTTATGTTTTCTAGACTCTCAAAAACCACTTGTGCTGATCTGGGCCATTTGGTTGAAAGTATTCCCAAAGGTGCACTTATCACAATCATAAGCTTTAATTATTATTATTAACATAATAATAATATAATATCACCTCCATTATGTGTAAGACTTTTGCATCTATTATCTCAGAGATCTTGGCACTAGACTCCCAAATAGACTCTTTAGGCCTCTGTATAGGCCAGGAAACAGTTCCTTACATTAGAGAAGACTGGAAGCCTCCAAGGTTTGCATGGCTGAGAGCTCCAGGGCTGAGCACCCAGGGTCCCTGCTCCCTTCTGACTGTTCACTGGGCCCTGGGGCTCCCCTATTTCCAGTCCAGCTGCCACTTCCCTGCCTCGCCTAGAGGACATGCTGTTCTGTCTCTCAAGCCCAAGAAGGACAACAGGTTGGCCCCTTGGTTTTCCTTCTTAGTCTTTGGTAGAGTTCATTTTGAAAATGCCAGCTTCTCTTTGCTGTGAAAGGGAAAATATAAGAAAATAAGTACAGACAATAAGAACAACAGAAGAGGGCCAGATGCGATGGCTCATGCCTATAAGCCTAGCACTTTGGGAGGCCGAGGAGGGAGAATGGTTTGAGCCCAGGAGTTTGAGACCAGCCTGAGCAGGAGGGAGACCCTGTCTCTACAAAAAAAAAAAAAAAAAAACAAAAAAACACCAGAAAAGCCAACAATTTTGCAAAGCACCTGCTTGGCTCCCATGGCCCATGGCCCACTATTAAATCAGTGGTTCAGATCTTCTGCTCCAGGCTTTCCAAGGAATGGCACCACATTCCTGGCGTGTTTCCTGGTATTCTCTTTTCCTCCTGTTTGCCTTGTTTTATGTTATTAAAGTAATTGCCTCATGCTGGTCCTAGCAGGTCACTCAACTGCTACATTGATTCTAGGAATGGAAAATACTGGCCATCCATGGATTAGGGACAGCGTATGTAGTGGCTGCTGTGGGGCTGCTTAGATCTCCTTTCAGGACGAGGCACTATGTCATGTCCCCAGCTATAGGGAGTGTTGGCTGCTGAAGTGCTGGTCTGGGTCCCCCTGGGCATAGCCCTTAGCCACAGAGATCCACCTCACCGAGGTCATGACCCCTCCCTGGGGTGGCCTGCCTCCGATGACTGCTGGCGTGCTATGTGGTGGTGGCATAAAGATTGAGGTCACTTGCCTCTGTAGAGGCAACCGCAGCTCCAGGGCTCGGGGCTCCTCGTGGGATCACTGAGGCATCTGTTGTAACCGCATCTCAGTTCTGCTTGTCACCTTGCCCAACCTGTGTCCCTCAAACCCTTACAGATAGGTTTCCAAGAGCACGCCCCAATGAGCCTCCTGCGTGCAGACTCAGGTGTTCGCTGTCTGTTTCCAGGGAACCGACGTACAACAGGAAGGGCTGACTTTATGGACTTACGACTTACGTGCTCAGAGGACCTTGCACGTGAGTTAGTGCTCTGCTGTTGCCATCTTGAAATTGTTAGTAGGTTTTGAATATCGGCTCCTAGATTTTCATTTTACACCGAGCCCTACAAATTACGTTTCCAGTTCCAAAGGATAGTGCTCAAGGCAAAATCTACCTAGAACGTCATGTGCAGAGGGAACCTGAGATGTCTCCTGGGCCCAGCAGGAGTGGCTCCTCTGATGAGGTGGCTCTGCCTGCCACGGAGGGAGGAGGAGGAGAGGGGCAGGGGGCACCACATGCTTCCCCTCCCTGGCTGACTGAGGCAAACGCCAGCTTAGAAGAAAAGCCAGCTCTAATCCACTGGGCTCTCTCACTTCTCTTTTCTGGCTGACGAGATGCCTGGCTCTAGCCCTCCTCAGCCTCCAGGCTCGGACAGGGCCACGCTCTCCTCCTGCTTCCTTTGTACCAGCGGATGCAATGAACTGGGCCGAGGGCTTAAAAGTCTACTGGTTTCACTTTCACAATATGACAATACTTCACTGCTAAATAACTAGGCACATAACATCGTGATGAGGTCTTCCTGGTGCAGCCTTTTTGATGCTGGAGCCTTTTGTCGTGGGGAGAAAAATCAAGCAATAAAACTTTCAGTGAAAAAAAATTTCTGAGTCATATGCATAACAGAAACATCAACTCACTTCTTCTTTTCTCTATCTCTCACTCTTTTTTAAGAGACAGGGTCTCGCTCTGTCGCCCAAGCTAGAGTGCAGTGGCAATATCATAGCTCACTTCAACCTGGAACTCTTGGGCTCAAAGAATCCTCCTGCCTCGGCCTCTCAAAGTGCTGGGATTGCAGGCATAAGCCACTGTGCCTGGCTCCAGTTTTACATAGGTGAAAATAATCACTAACATGTATATAACATTTAGGAGAATACCTGACACAGATAATAAGCACTTTACATACATTAATTCACCTAATTCTCACAACATATTGTGGCACAAAGAGGTTAGATGAAATGTGTAATATTACTTTACGATGTGAGTGAATGGGACCAGGATTCCAAACCAAGTGGCCTGTGTTCTTTCTATCCAATCTGCACATGCATTCTCAAATCAAATGGTGAGGACTTCATTGAATACATTGTTTTTATCTGAAATATAAAATTTAATATAGAGTAATGAAAAGCAATGGCCAAATACACAACTTAGTCCAAAGCTACTCATTGACAAATGCACACAGAATTCAAGGTGGAGCAGTGAACAACGTGTAACAATTGATAAATCAACTTTATTTGTCCAATCTGCAAAAAACCAGGAATATAAGCAGAACATAGGAAAGAACCATAGGAAAGAACCATTATAGAAGTGCTTAAATATATGAGAATTGACAGAAGAATTGAGATTTTTGAGCCTGAAAAGGAAATACAAAGGTAAAACTGCTTTCAAATATCTGGAAGCAATCCCTCATAATTTTCTTATGAATTAATCATGAATAAAATATTATCTTTCAATCTTTTGCCAATTTAGAATGTGTTGATATCAGAATTCATTTTAATCAAATTTCCTTGATTAAAATGGGGTCAGAAGAGTGGATTTTTAGGTGTTTTATTAGAGTCAATTTTATTAAAAGAAATTTCTTAATAATGTAGATTTTGTTGGTCAGTACCAACAGTAAGAAATAAAGTGGTCATGAGGTGAGCTAGGTTTAGGGACAGGGAGTGGAAAAAGAGGTGGAGGAAAACATAATAAAAGTAGTATATACTAGGTAAATGGTTTCAACAAAATGCTAATTGAGGAAACATACCAGAGTGGAGTGAGGGCGTTGAGATACCAAGCCCTGACATTGTGATGCATCGGCCCAGGGAAAGGGACATGTCCATGTAATTGATCTGCTCAAACAAGGAATCTGTTTGGACTTCCCACAGTGAAACTGAAAGTGGCCCTCAGTAACTCCATCCAGATGAGACTCTGTTAAAACGTGCAACAAGAGCACTCCAGAAGCAGGAACTGGCACATATGGGAAGAGTCAGTGGGAAAAAGAGAAAGCAGAGGGTGTAATTCTCTGAGGAAGAGGTCCTGTCCTCCACCCTCAGGCGCCTGCTCTGGATCCCCAGGGCCTAGCTCAGGGCCTGACCCAATCAGCATTTGGTGAATGACGGGGAACAAGGAAAGGAGCAGAGACGGTGACAGCTGCATTCTTTGGTGATAGCACACAGGTTTCAGGATGGGGGCCAAAAGTGGCTTCAAGTATGGAAGAAGCCAGTGGGCAGGCAGAGAAACCTATTTTCAGTCAACTTACTATTTTTCCCTCTGTTGAAGCTGACTGATGATGCTAATGTCCATTTGCCAGGCTAATCATGCATGCATCGGGTATGTATTGTAGTCGAGCCTCAAGTCTCCCCCCACCCCGCCCCCCAGGAACCAGCTATCTGTATCATCCATCTTCCTCTGGGAGCCCCTGGCAGGGGTATTCTTGGAAAAGAATATAGACAGAGTAGTTGCCCCAATTCACTGCACCCTCTGAATGGCTCCGATCAACCTTCTCATAAGACCCTATGAGACATTTAAAAAATATTAATAAAATGTTTATTTATTTAAACATAAAATGTCTACATGAAGTTTCTGAGAAATAGAGGCAAACTTTTTTTTTTTCTTTTTAAAAGAAAATCAGTATTGTCTTTGGAAATGAACATTTTGTTGGATGGTGCCTAAAGTGACTCTGAGGGGAGAATGAGATTTGCAGTGACGCTAGGTATTCAAAGTTAGTTTTGCTATTTGCTGAAAGAGAAATTAAAAAGGTCAACAGTAGACTATAGCATGCTAAGATTTATTAATAGCAATGGGTTTGCAGAATTCCTCAGTTATCTGTAAACACCTTCTGGCCCTAGAGTCTTTGTTCTCTTGCCAAAAGTGGGGTGGTGATTTAGGTGATTTAGCTAGGTAACGTCACATGGGGAGAGTTTGGTTAACAATTTTTTCTCACCTACTGACTCATAATGAAGATTGTAAGCTTCAGACATGTGGGCTTTTTGTCTCTTATTTGTTGTTTATTTAAGGCATCTAGAACAATGCCTTGGAAAATGGTACAGTCTTAATAACTAATGTATAAAGCAAGCTTCTTTGCCATTTCTTTGAGAAACTCAAGCCCTAGGGGCCAGGGGGAACCAGGTATCAAATTTCTTTGAATTGCCCATCTCTAAGACTTTTGTTTCTCATTTATGGATACCATTGCCAGGATTCACCCATCTACTCCTCATTCTTTGGCATGAATCAGACAGAAGGGCCAACTTCTAGATCCAACTCAATAGATGAAGCCCAATTTAAATTAGTAGAAATGTTAATGTCCTGATACTATAGAACAGAGAGTCCCAAGATGCTCAATTGGGGTATAAGGACCCCAACTAAAAGGAGGTATAAGGACCTCCTTTTAATACTCAAATTCTACATGCTTTCACATCATGGAGATTGTATTTTTAGTAACCAGTGATTGCTTTTTGCCATAATATATTTTCTCTATTAAAAATTCAGTTGCATTTTAAGACAAATTTGGTTTTCACTATTCAAAACTGTATCTATTCTTACACGAAGGTGGATGATAAAAATAAGAAAAAGAAAAAAATGGAACAAAACTGTATCTCTAGGAATTGAAAAATAGTGATAAATATATGTGGAAAACACATTCAATTTATAGCAATGCTTGGCACACATATGGATTCATGGATTATCCTCATCCCCTACCAGAATCTGATGGTTGAACTCATATTGATAAATCATATTATATTTCTCTTAAATGATACTTTTGGTTAGTTTTTATAAATTATTTTTAAGGAACAAAGTCTTAGTAGTAATAGATGAATGTGCTATGTTTATTGACCATCTGCAAATTGTTTTCGTTATTTCAGATTGAAATTCTGGAGGGATAAATTCCTTGAGATGGGAGGAGAAAGGAAGGAAAACAAACAACTGTCTTTCTCTTGCTCGTTTGTTTCTGAGTTGCATTTTCCCTGTGTTCCATGCCATGACTCAGGGCACAGGAAGAGCATCTCAGAGAGCACCCTGCCTGTGTTCTCTGCTGT